CAAGAATGTCCATTTGTGTCCTTTTTCTTCCTGTAAAACACCTTTACAGTTAGCAGGGAGTTGTTCTTAAAACTAGATGCTATGTGGTGGAAAGTTATGCCCTAGGTGTTAATAATTGTTGAATAATATTTAAGGTATTCTTATTTTTCCCCATGAAGCTATATGGGGATAATAGCTCTGAATTTTTTTTTTTTAATCCAACATCACTAAGAAGGGGAAGAAGTATTATTTAGCCTTGAACTCTTCAAATTGTCTCCCCCTCTGGAAAGTTCTTGAACCAGAAATTGCTTGGTCCCTTTAAAAAAAAATAGTTCTCTGGTAAAATTTCATGATTACTTAGTCCTTCCCTAAACTCACTGTCACGATTCACTGTAGTGAATTTCTTTCTTTTCTGTTTCTCCCTTTCTCCTCCCTCCATCCTTCTCTGTCTCTCCCTTCTTGTTCATTATGGAACTTAAATATATCTGATATTCTATGCTGTTGGAAACAAATGCTCTGTGCTGCAAAGAAAAGCCAGCACTGAGACAAAGGATCTCTCAGCAAGGCAATCTTTACTTTCTGCAGAAAGGGTACCCTTTCTAGTCACTAAGCATGTTTCCAACAATCAGAAATTTGTTTTTAGTGTGCATATTATGTTTTCCTTCACACCAAGATGAAAATCAACAGAACAGTGACTTGATGAAGTTAATTTCTGTATCAGGGGTTCTGCTGCACAGCTTGACACATCATAGGTGCCCTGTACCTAAAGGGATTAAATAATTTTACCTCCAAACTGGAACATCTTGCATAGTGTAAAGGGTATCAATCTTTATGCCAGGACAACAGAAATGAAATGAGAAGGACAGAAGTGAAGGCTTTAAAATGAAAAGTGCACTGATGAGGTTTGCAGTTGAAACAGCTTCACGAGACCAGAGTCTTCCAATTTGAGATAGAGCAAGAATGGATTTCAAATCTTAGGGAGCACTTCATCATCTTTTGCAGCATGTCATCAAAACAGTCTCTCATTGTATAATTCTAGTTAATCGAGCTTATTAGAATCAGAAAGTAAACATGGTGTTTCTGAGGTTTTTCTTCATGAGCAGGAGGAGTTCAGGTGAAGATGGGATCTGGGTGTGGCAGTGAGTATTCAAGGGTTGGCGAGTGCACAATTTCTTTGGAGACCAGGGAGTCAAGGAGCTATGAAAATGATGTGTTCTGAAGCACAGCAAAAAGAGATACAGATAAATCTGAGGTCTTGGGTAACAGGGAACTCCGGGATCCCAGTGTCCTGTTGGGGATGGGTCAGGAGGCACCAGCATGTGTGTAGCTGACAGTGGCAGGGAAGAGAAGAGAGGGGGGTCCTCTGAGGAGGGTGAGCAGGGATATGGTCTGGAATTGGCCCTGGGTCATTATCTTGAGCTTTCAGTCTTTGACTCACATCAGCCCAGTGAGGTCCCAGGACCCAGTGTTGATGCCTGGAGCCTCTGCTAGCAGCATCAGCATCACACGGAGAAATGCAGACTCTTAGGTCCACCCTAGACTTCCCTGGGTTCAGGTCCAGAGATCTGAGTTTTACAAACCCTGCAGGTGCTGAGGATGGATGGTGTCATTTGAGACCCATTTCCCCAGAAAGAGAGGCTGGTGGGGAGATTGCACTGAGCTGAGAGAAGCCCCCAGAGCTGATCTTCTCCAGCTTCCATTTGGATGAAATTTCACATTTTCTTTTCTTTGGATGAAATTTCACATTTTCATTTGAAAGGGGAAGCTCAAAAGAAGCATGATACCCTGGGATTTACAGAAGAAACGAGATATCCACGTGGCCAAGGCCCATCGAAGACGAGCTGCCAGGGCTGCCCTCCCCATGAGACTCACTAGCTGTATCTTCCGGAAGCCAGTGACAAAGATCAGGTCTCATCCTGACAACCAGGTCAGACACAAAATAGGCGAGGAGCAGCTGGAGAAGCCACGGCAGCTCTGCGCCTACCAGAGAATGCAGGCCCTGCCCCCCTGCAGCAGCCAAGGAGAAGGCTCTGCAAGTCCACTGGATTTGGACAGCGTCTTAAGTGTTCTTGTTCCGGGCATGGCTGGGGGATCTCTGGACAGAGCTGGTACTGAGCTCACACACAGTCGGCCTGAGCCCACCCCTGGGCAGCTTCCAGCTGGAGTAGGGGCTCCCCCAGGAGTGGGTTGTCAGCTCCCACCGCCCCTCTCTGGCCAATTGGTGACTCAAGCAGATATCCGGAGACAAGCCCGGAAGGTGAAGAAAGCCAGGGAGAGACTGGCCAAGGCCTTGCAGACAGACAGGCTGGCCAGGGAGGCAGACAGACATGCTAACAAGTAGATAAAGTGGAGGAGGAAGGGGCAGTCGGAAGCTGTGGGAATTGGCCCCAGTGTTGGGGGGGCTGTCAGTGTAGACAGTCCTGGGTTTTAGGTCCCTATCTTTTAATTCCCATCCTCTTTCCTACTATGAATTGTAACACTTTCTCCTTCTCCACCTGTTCTTTATTAAAAGTATTTAAAAGCAACAGGTATAAGGAGTGGAAGGTTCTGTAGTGAGAACTCGGGTTTCCTGGGACAGAGAGGGAGACCTTTACACGTCATTGTACACCTCAATTTCTGTTTACTATGATTTTAATTAGTTTTTATATTCTAATTTAATTTTTGGCTGGGTGCTGTGTCTTATGCCTGTAGTCCCAGCACTTTGGGAGGCTGAGGTGGGCATTTCATCCGTGTCAGGCGTTTGGGGCCAGCCTGGCCAATATGGCAAAACCACATCTCTACTAAAAATACAAAAATTAGACAGGAGTGGTGGCATGGCCCTGTAGTCCCAGTTACTCAAGACGCTGGGCAGGAGACTCACTTGAACCTGGGAGGTGGAGGTTGCAGTGAGCTGAGATTGCACCACTGCACTCCAACCTAGAGACAGAACAAGACTCTGTTTCAAAAAAAAAAAACCCTCTAATTTAATTTCAGATTAAATCCTTTAAAAATGAAATTAAATTATGTAATTTTTAAATGAAACAAATACAATACATAATTTAATAAAAATTTATTATATTTTCATTTTTAAATTTTCTTTTTTTGAAAATTTCAACCCATGGGTACATGTATATGTTTGTTCTGTGGATATATTGGTTAATGGTGGGGGTTGGGTTTGTAGTTTATGGGTTAAACAAATATTGAACATTGTACCCAGTAGCTAAGTTTTCAACCAATGGGTAATTAAATTCAATTAACCTAGACTGAAGGATTATTCAGTGTTTTGTCATTACATTTTCTCCTTATAATATACATTCTCAAGGAGGAATTGATACATATCCCAAGAGATTATTTTTTTATTAAACATTTTTACCACATTTACTCTGATGTGCTTACCGGACATTTTGTGCCTTTATCAAAATATCTCATGTACTACATAAATATAGACACATACTATGTCCCTTCCAGCTGTTTAATTTTGAGTTTCCTTACCTCTTTCTCTTACCCTATCATTGACCAAAACATGGAATAGAATACTTCTCAGCAATTATTTTATGCATGTTCTGCTTAGGTAGAAGCTACTGGTTGTGTTCACTCTTGTTAAAACCAAGGGATGGAAAGGGCCGCACTCTGAGTTGGAATCACGAGTCCTTCATTGCCGGAGATGGAGAGTCAGCTCACGCTCAGAATCTCTCGGCCCCAGTGTGATTTCCCTTTTATATGTTGCTCAGGATAATGGGGGCAAAGCAGAATTTTACAGAAGCAGAATAAGCAAGTTATGGGAGGAGGCTGGTAACTGGGAGGCAGGAGGCTCCCATGATCGTGGGTTAACTAAGGAGGGTACAGACAAGTGGTTCCCACGATTGCTGGTTACCAAGGAGGGGCATTCAATATGTTTCATACAGTTAATCAAAGGGGTATTCACAATAGCAAGTGGGCTTGTCAAGCAGGATATGGTTACAACGGTTACATGGTTCTGTGGTTCTAAGTACAACATGACCCAGCACCGTGTGACCCAGGTATGCACTTGGGAGAAATGGCGGAAGGGGTGAGGCAGAGGTGACGATGGAGTCTGTCAGGCTAACACAGGGTAAGTTAGCACACTCTAGCAGAGTTAGGGTGGCAGGAAGTGCCTATCGGGAAGCTACAGCACACCAGACTGGGAAACACAGCAAGACTGTGTCTCTAAATATATGTGTAATTTATATATAAATCATACACATAACACATATTATACAATTATATAATTATATATTTATAATATAGTTACATATTTTTATATATAATGTACACTCCCAAAGTGCTTAAGTGAATTACTTAAGTGAAAAATTAAGTAATTAAATTATATATAATACACTCCCAAAGTGCTGAGATTACACACGTGAGCCACCTTGCCAGTCGAGATTATTAACAGCCAGGATGGGGATAAAAGAGAAGGAGCAGTGGATGCTGTGAGCCTCAACCCGGAGTCCTGTCCATGGCCAATGCTTCCATCCCCCAGCTGCTGGGAATATTGCCTGCTGACAGTTCACAGCTGTGTGCCTCACAGGAAATATCAGAATTACAGGAGGCCAGGAGTTCCACAATGCAGTGAACTGCCCTATTCTAGAATACGGCATTCTCAGGGGCATCCAGAGATCAGGTGTACGCCTGTAATCCAACACTTTGGGAGGCTGAGGCGGCCAAATCACCTGAGGTCGACAGTTCGAGACCAGCCTGACCAACATGGAGAAACCCCCATCTCTACTAAAAATACAAAATTAGGCCAGGCGCAGTGGCTCACGCCTGTAATCCTAGCACTTCGGGAGGCCGAGGTGGGTGGATCACCTGAGGTCAGGAATTTGAGACCAGCCTGACAAACGTGAAACCCCGTCTCTACTAAAAATACAAAATTTAGCCGGGCGTTGTGGCAGGAGCCTGTAATACTAGCTACTCGGCAGGCTGAGGCAGGAGAATCACTTAAACCTGAGAAGCGCAGCATTTTAGGGCGGGACCAGCTGGGGCCGGAAGGGGAAGTGCAGCTCTGCCAGCCCGAGGCCGGAAGCGGAAGCGCGGGAGTGTGTTGTGAGAAAAGCCTCGGTCGCGTCGCGTTGGAAAGAGTCTTGATCGTGAGTCGGCGTTTTGGGCCCGTCTGGAGGTGCTGGGCTCGGTAATCTGCAGGTGGGGGTTCGGGTCCGAATGCAGAGAAGGGGCCCAGCCGCTGGCCCCACGTCCCTCCCGGGAGCCGGGTTTCCGCCCGATACCTCGGGCTGTGCGCCCAGGCCAGCCCGAAGCTGCTGCTGCTTCCGGGGTCGTGGCCCCCGCGCCCCTGTCGCCCTCACTCAGGGTGATTCTGCGCCCCATGGGACTTTTGGCTCTAGTTGGAGACATTTCTGGAGGTCACAGAATGCAGGGTAGGAGGGACTGTGCTGCTGCAATCTAGAGGGTGGGGGCCGGGAATGCTAGCAGCGCAAGCACCCTGCAGCGCGTAAAAGCAGCTGCCGCCTGCAAAGACTCTTCCAGCCCCAAATGTCAGTAGTGCCCAGGTTGGGAAACCCTGCTGGAGGGCATTCAGGTCTCTGCAGTCCTGAATACACTGCAGAAATTATTTACAATTCAGCTGAGTCACTTAGAAGGCTGTAGTGACGAATTTAAAGCATCTGGAGTCGCCATAAAATCTCCAGCCACGTGAGTTAAGCATGTCAAATGCAGACAGCTTTAAGCTCCTTGTTTCATTTTACGGAGCAGATGGCTGGAGAGGAATCAGGTGAATTCAGGCACAGCCGATAGCCGGGGTTCTTACTATTCTTTAAATCACTTTTTTTAAGTGAATGGGGTGGCCTTTCTATGTAACAGCTCTATTACCCTCAATAATACATTTTACTATATGTACATACTACTCCCTACAAAAGGCCTCGTAAGCGATTTTTGTGCCCCCTCCCCTTTTTTTCAGACAAGAAAAGTATCATTCAGGCTCAGATTTGTGTTGAAGCCAGCCTCAGGATTCACCTATACTCACTGATGAGTGGATTTCTGTAAGATCAGGTGAGTACCGTGTAGAACGTGCAGGTTACAAGACTCCACTGTGCAGAAAAACTGAACGAGTTTTTCCTGTGCTCAGGTTGCAAACACAAGGAATTACTAAGAGTGAGCATATCTTTTTTTTTTTTTTTTTTTTTTTTTTGATTCAGAGCCTCACTGTTGCCCAGGCTGGAGTGCAGTGGTGCTGTCTCAGCTCATTGCAACTTCCGCCTCTCAGGTTCAAGCAATTCTCCTGCCTCAGCCTCGCCAGTAGCTGGGATTACAGGTGCGCACCACCACACCCAGTTAACTTCTGTATTTTTAGTAGAGACGGGGTTTTGTCATGCTGGCCAGGCTGTTCTCGAACTCCTGAACTCAGGTGATCCGCCTACCTCGGCCTCCCAAAGTGTTGGGATTACAGGCGTGAGCCGCCGAGCCTGGCCATAATGCAGATTTTCTTGAATGTCATGATACTAAAAATTTCAGACTTTTACAGATGAGTACAAATATATCAACTTTTCACATGTATATGTGAATTTTGGGGGTGCTGTTTTGCCAGCCACAGGGACCAGATAGCAGAAACACTTGGCAGCTGTGTTCATTAAAGGGTGGAGGCTGAGACGCTGCAGGCGGGAATGGGGAAAGAGCCACGGATCTCTGCTTGGTTCCAAGTACCAGTGAACACCTGGCTGTGGGGAACGGCTGTCTATTCAGTTCCCTCCCAGTCCTTTCCTCCTTGGAGATAGGGCCTATGGGGATCATCCAGTATAAATTCCCTGGGCAAGAGATCTAGAAGGAAGCCAGGGCCTGAATGCTGCATCTCGGTACAAATTTGGAGAGAGACTGAGTGGCCCTGCCTTCCATGAACAGCCACCACCACCCACTCCCTGCAACTCTGTTTTGTCTGCCTGGCCCACATTCACTCTTAGAAATCCCTAAATCCAGATGCCAACCCCTCACTCCCCATCCCACCCTTGGCTGCTTTCATCTTTGTGTGTACACACACGCACACACACACACACACAGCCCTTTTCTCATAAAAAAAAGAAAACATTCCATATACACTGTTGGGTGCCTTATTTTTTTCCCCTTTAATTTACTGGAGACAATAACCTCTATTGATACCTGGAGATCTTACCTCTATTTTTTTGAGATGGAATTTCACTCTTGTTGCCCAGCCTGGATAGTGCTATCTCGGCTCACTGCAACCTCTGCCTCCCAGGTTCAAGCAATTCTGCCTCAGCCTCCCGAGTAGCTGGGATTACAGGCATGCGCCACCACGCCCAGCTAATTTTTTGTATTTTTAGTGGAGACAGTGTTTCACCGTGTTGGCCAGGTTGGTTTTTGAACTCCTGACCTCAGGTGATCCACCTGCGTCGGCCTCCCAAAGTGACGGAGGCAGGGCACAGGCAGGAGAGGGGGTGACGGAGGCAGGGCACAGGCAGGAGAGGGGTTGACGGAGGCAGGGCGCGGGCGGGAGAGAGGGTGACCGAGGCAGGGCACGGACGGGAGAGGGGGTGACGGAGGCAGGGCACAGACGGGAGAGGGGGTGACGGAGGCAGGGCGCGGGCGGGAGAGGGGGTGACGGAGGCAGGGCGCGGGCGGGAGAGGGGGTGACGGAGGCAGGGCGCGGGCGGGAGAGGGGGTGACGGAGGCAGGGCGCGGGCGGGAGAGAGGGTGACGGAGGCAGGGCGCAGGCGGGAGAGGGGGTGACCGAGGCAGGGCGCGGACGGGAGAGGGGGTGACGGAGGCAGGGCGCGGGCGGGAGAGGGGGTGACGGAGGCAGGGCGCGGGCGGGAGAGGGGGTGACGGAGGCAGGGCGCGGGCGGGAGAGGGGGTGGCCAAGGCAGGGGATGGGCAGGAGAGGGGGTGGCCGAGGTCTGCTTGTGGTCACAGGACACACAGTGAGAGAAAAATGAGTGAACGCAGTGGAAGTTGAGGAGGGAGGTTGGGTTCAGACAGGGGAGTTTGTGAGCATTGTTCTAGATGGTGGGACAGTGCCCGGCGATGATCGGGGCTGAGCATACCCATGGAAATGTGTGGCCCAGGGGTGTGAGGGCAGAGGGCCGCAGAGCTTAGGAACCCCTGAGACTCTGGAGGTCTCTGATGTCATGCGGGACCTGGGATTGGAGGTGGGAGGAGTGATGGAGGCAGGTGCTGAAGTCCCCAGGGAAGGAGGGTGTGGCAGGGAACACATTACTGACCACACTTGGACAAGCGGAATGTGCTATGAGACTCCACGAAGCCTTGGTTTTCAAGGGGTATGGAGCCAGGGACATATTGGTCATTGTGTTGGGGACAGAGGAAGGCAAGTGTTGCCATTAGGTGGCCCTAAATTCATCTGCTCAGGAAAATAAAGGCTCAATGTGGAAGCCAGAACTTGTATTTGAAGGAGGACAGGAAGAATGAGCTGAGGAGGGCCTGTGGGGACTTGGAGTGTCCCATTTCTTCCAGAGCACTGTCCTGAGGGTGCTTCCAGAAGAAGGGAGGCGCGTCCTGCCTCCCGGCTGCCCTGTTGCTGTCGGAGTCACAGGATGGTGGCCCTTGTCCTACCTGCCACCGGTGGTGAGTCACGGGGTCTTAGCATTTCTCATAGTCCAGGATTGAAAGGCTCTGACCCTCAGCCTGGCACAGGAGGGGGCTGGGCAGAGCAGGTGAGGCAGAAGTGGAGCCCCAGGGTCCTAGAGGTCCTCCGTGCCCGACAGGGCGGCTCTTGGGATTTGGGACTTAGGTGTTTGGGTGTCTGTGGATGTGACCAGTTAGTGAATGTCCTGGAGCTTTTGAATTCTCCCTTTATTTCTTTCTGTGAACCTGATAAAAACAGTGATGTCTTTGGAAGCTGCTTCCTCATCTATGAAGTGGGAATAATCTCTTCCCCAGGTGCAGTCAGACCTTAAGCCCTGTTACCTTTCGTTGGTGAGACAGGGCTGTTTGGGTGTCTTAGGAGAGCTGTGGGTAAGTGTTTGCATGGGGTGTAGGTAGGTGCTGTGTGGGCATAGGAGGGGGATGTGGTCAGTCACAGGCAGATACATGGGCGTTAGACAAGCCTAAATCTCCGGGACTCATTTCTCCTCCTCCAGCTGCGTCTTCCCCATTCTCAGCCTCTCGGTAAAAAGGATACACAGAAGGCTGAGGGCTGGTTAATGAGCTCCTGACAAGCTGGCTACAGGTGAGTTGGATGCTCCTTTTCCCAAATTGTTATTCCTTTAGCCAGAAGGTTGGATTTCATACCTCCCAGCAGCCTGGAGCCTCGCAGCCAAACTGGCTCCTGAGGCATCCCAGGATTTCCAGGCATCTGATGGAGAGTGAGGGCTGCCCAGAAAATGTCAGTTTGTGTGGACGGTTACCGGAGGTTCAGAGCATTCTCCAGGGTCCATAAATACGTCATGTGCTCCTGAGAGTTTTTTTTTTTTTTTTTTTGAGGCGGAGTTTCACTCTTGTTACCCAGGCTGGAGTGCAATGGCGCGATCTCGGCTCACCACAACCTCCGCCTCCTGGGTTCAGGCAATTCTCCTGCCTCAGCCTCCTGAGTAGCTGGGATTACAGGCACGTGCCACCATGCCCAGCTAATTTTTTGTATTTTTAGTAGAGATGGGGTTTCACCATGTTGACCAGGATGGTCTCGATCTCTCGACCTCGTGATCCACCCGCCTCGGCCTCCCAAAGTGCTGGGATTACAGGCTTGAGCCACCGCGCCCGGCCCCTGAGAGTTTTAAGGGAAAGCCAAGTAAAGTTGTGACGATGTTCTAAGCCCAAGCAATTTATAAAAGCCATACGAAATCGTTCATTCACTTACCAAGTATTCCTCTGATTTCTGCCATGTCCCAGGCCCATGCTCCCCTGGAGACTGAGAGAGTAAGATCACAGGAACCCCCAGTCTGAGAGAGAAAAGACAGTTGCTCTGGGGTACTGTGCATTAAACCTGAGGAGTGGCCTAAGGAGTCAAGCATTGAGGGCTGAGCCTGGAAGCCAGGGAGCGGAGCTCAGAACCCCGCCCCACATCTTGTGCTCAGGTTTCCCCAGCCCTGGCTCTGTTCTCCTGGGCCCTCTTCCTGTGCAGTTGGTGAGGGTTGTCCTCAGCTAAACTGTGATGTTTGCGATGCTTTAGGGGTTGGTGACCTTCGAGGATGTGGCTGTGGAGTTCACCCAGGAGGAGTGGGCGTTGCTGGACCCTGCCCAAAGGATGCTACACAGGAACATGACGCTGGAGAATTTCTGGAACCTGTCTTCCTCACTGGGTAAGCCTGATGCCATTCCTGCATTTATTTAATGACTCAGGAGGTAAGCCTTTTTTTTCTTTTTTTTTTAATTGAGGTAACATTCACAAGACAGAAAAGTCACCATTTAAACTATTTCTTTAAAGTGTCCAATTCAGTGGCTTTTCATACGTTCACAATGTAGTACAACCACCACCACTAATTACGGAGCATAGTTGTCACACCAGAAATAAGCCCCAGAGTCATTAAGTGGTCACTCCCCACTCCTCCCTTCTGAAAACCTTGGCAGCCACTAATCATTCTGTCTCTATGGGTGTGTCTCCTGTTTTTGTCGGGGTGATTTTTAGACACTGTCTCCCTCCATCACCCAGGCTATAGTGCAGTGGCATGACCCTGAGTAGCTGGGACTACAGGTGTGCACCACCACGCCCAGCTAATCTGTGTATTTTTTTGTAGAGACAGGGTCTAGCTATGTTGCCCAGGCTGGTCTTTAACTTCTGGGCTCAGGCAGTCCTCCTGCCTTAGCTTTCCAAAGTGCTGTGAGCCACCATGCCTGGCTCTATTCTTGACATTTTATATAAATGGGATCATACAAAATGTTTTCACTTTTTACTTAGCATAATGTTTTCTTTTCTTTTCTTTTTTTTTTTTTTTTTGAGACAGAGTTTTACTCTGTTGCCCCAGGCTGGAGTGCACTGGTGGGATCTCGGCTCACTGAGCCTCCACCTCCCAGGTTCATTCTGTTCTCATGCCTCAGCCTACCGAATAGCTGGGACTACAGGCATGTGACACTAGGCAAATTTTTGTATTTTTAATAGAGGCGGGGTTTCACCATGTTGGCCAGGCTGATGGTCTTCAACTCTTGCCCACCCACCTTGGCCTCCCAAAGTGCTGGGATTGCAGGTGGGAGCCACCACGCCTGGCCGATGTTCTCAAAGTATAACCATGTTGTAGCAGATAGCTGAACTTCATTCTTCTTATGGTTGACTATTATTCCATTATGTGAATATACCACTTTTTATGTATCAGTTCATCAGCTGATGGAAATTTGGCCTGTTCTCACCTTTAGGCTCTTGTGGGTAGTGTGCTATGAACATTCATGTACGAGATGTTGCTTAAACACCAGTTTACTCTTGGGTATATACCTAGGAGTGGAATATTCTGTGGTAATTCTATGTTTGATGTGTTCAGGAGCCTCCACACTTTCCACACCTACTGTACCATTTTACTTTCTACCAGCAGTGTATGAGACCAGCAACGTATTACAGTTTCTCTGCATCCTTACCAACATTTCTCTCTTCCATTAAAAAATAATAATAATTATTATAGGCATTCTTGTTTCATCTAATTGTGCTTTTTATTTCCTTTATTTTTTTTTTTGAGATAGAGTCTGACTCTGTTGTCCAGGCTGGAGTGGCACAATCTCAGCTCACTGCAGCCTCTGCCTTTCTGGTTCAAGTGGTTCTCCTGCTTCAGCCTCCGAAGTAGCTAGGATTACAGCTACCACTACACCAGGCTACTTTTTGTATTTTTAGTGGAGACAGGTTTCACCATGTTGGCCAGGCAGGTCTCGAACTCCTGACCTCAGGTGATCCTCCCATCTCGGCCTCCCAAAATGCTGAGATTATAGGCATGAGTCACCAAACCTGGCTGTGGTATTTAATTTCTGTTTCCCTAAAAAAATGAGATTGGCCATCTTTCCTTGTGCCTGTTGGCGATTTACACATTTACTTTGGAGAAATGTTCATTCAAATCCTTCTTCTGTTTGGGGGGCATTGTTTGCTTTTTCGTTATTGAGTTGTAAGAGTTCTTTATACGTTCTCAACACTAGACCCTTATCAAATATTATTTATCATTTTCAAATACCTCCTCCCATTCAGTGGATTGCCTGTTTACTGTCTTGAATGATAGTTTTGCAAGGGATAGAATTCTTGGTTGATCTTTTAGTACTTGGATTATGTCATCCCACTGGCTTGTGGCCTCCATGGTTTTTGATGAGAAATCAGCTGTTAATCTTGTATATGATGACTTATTTTGCCCTTGCTATTTTTCAGGGTAATCTATTTGTCTTTGGTTTTTAACAGTTTAATTTTAAGGTATCTCAGTATGAGTTTTTTGAGTGTATCCTATTTGGAGATCATTGAGCTGCTTGGGTGTATAGACTTGTAATTTTCATCAGATTTGGGAATGTTTGGCTCTTATTTTTCCATATATTCCTTTTTCTTTTTTCTTTTTTTCCCCCAGAGACTTGCTTTGTCACCCAGGCTGGAGTGCACTGGCAAGGTCTCAGCTCATTGCAACTTCCACCTCCTGGGTTCAAGCAGTTCTCCCTGCCTCAGCCTCCTGAATAGCTGGGATTACAAACGCACACCCCCACACCTGGCTAATTTTTGTACTTTCAGTAGAGACAGGGTTTCACCATGTTGGCTAGGCTGGTCTCAAACTCGTGACCTCAGGTGATTCTACCACCTCAGCCTTCCAAAGTGCTGTAACACAGGTGTGAGCCACCGTGATTGACCTATTTTTCCTGTATTCCTTCTCCTTTTTCTGCCTCCTCTCCAGTAGCAACTCCCGTTATGTGTATTTGGATGTTTGATGATGTCTTCTGGGTCTCTTAGGCTCTATTCATTTTTTTCCCTTTTTAATTTCTGCGTTACAGCTCAAGCAATCTTTATTGACCTGTCTTCAAGTTCACACTGATTGTCTTACTCCCGATCAAGTCTTCTGATGAACCCCTTCTAGTAAATTTTTCATTTCAGATAATATATTTTTCAATTTTAAAACTCCTGTTTGGCTCCTTTTTATAATTTCCATCTCTTTAGGATTTTCTCTGTTTAGTGAGAATTCATTCTCCTGGTTCCATTAGTTTTTTTTGTACACAATTTCCATTAACTCTTTGAGCTTGAAATGGTTGAAGTTGTTGCCTAGTAAGTCCAATGACTAGATTTCTTAGGGACCATTTCTGTTCATTTCTTTTTTCCTATAATGCAGTTTCATTTTTGTTTCTTTATGTGCCTCATAATTTATTTGCTGAAAACTACTTGGAGAATATGACAATATGGCAGTTCTGTAAAGCTGATTTTCCCATCCCCAAGGTTTGTTGTAGCTGGTATTGTTTCTTTGGTGACATTTCTGCACTAATTTTGTCATATCCATATTTGTCATGTGTGGCCACTGAAGTCTCTGTTCTGTTAGTGTAATGTTCAGCTTGTGAGTAATTTGTCAGAGATTTTCTTAAATACCTGGAACCCTAAAGATTACTAGTCTTCGTTGATGGATCTGAATTATACTATATGTTGGAGCATGCCTTCCAACACTCAGCTAAAGCACTTTACAACTCTGCCTTAGCCTTCAATTGCTGCTTATGCAGAGCCTGAAGGTCAAAGGTGAGGGCTTGCTGCCTTCTCAGATCTTTCTGAGCATACGTTCATCCCTGGGTACGTGCATGGCCTTCTAGGAATGTGTGCAGGCCGGGCGTGGTGGCGCACGCCTTTAATCCCAGCACTTTGGGAGGCCAAGGGGGATGAAACATCTGAGCTCAGGAGTTTGAGTCCAACCTAACCAAGGTGATGAAACCCTGTCTCTACTAAAAATACAAAAAAAATCAGTCAAGTATGGTGGCACATGCCTGTAATCCTAGCTACTCAGGAGGCTGAGGCAGGAGAAGTGCTTGAACCCAGGAGGTGAAGGTTGCAGTGAGCCGATGCGACTGCACTCCAGTCTGGGCAATGGAGCAAGACTCTGTCTTGTTGGTGGGGGTGAGGAATGTGTGGAGAGATGCTCTGCTCCCCAGCGCATCTCGTTCTCCACTTCTCCCGGATGTTTTGGTTTAGTCTTTCATTTGCTTCAGTTTTCCCTTGCCCCATTCAGCAGTGGCTAAATGTATTTGCCTTTAGATGTGTTGGGACACACTTCCCTCTCTACCCTCCAGCTTCCACAGGTATAGCCTCTTCAGACCTGTGAGAGTTCGGATTTATACAAATAAAGGGAAGCCCTTTGACCCAGCACATCAGGGAGCCACCAGACAGTCAAAACAACCAACCACAGTTTTTTAGACTAAGGTGCATTCTGTTACCTTTAGTATTGTTGTCTCCAAGGCAAAATGGGGAATAGAGTATGTGGCTAGTGTCAGTTAAAATGTCACAAATCCCTCTTACCCAGATTCAGCTGTTTGTCTTGATTAGGCATTCTCCTGTGGTCGTACACTTCTGATAACATTCCAGAGTTCCAATGAAGTTGATTCTGGTTTTGCCCCGTTTACTTACTGTTTCTGTGAAGGGATGGAGTTTTGGAGTTCCTAGTCCGCTACTTTCACTGACATCACTTCTTTTAAGTCCTTCTTAAGCATGTGTGTTCTCAGGTCTCTGCCAGGATGTGGGAGTGCAGTGAAGAATGCAACAGACACGGTCCCCACCCTCATGGAGCTCTCTGTCTCAGCCTGTTCCCATGAAATGAAGATTTACTTCTTGCCCTGACTGTTGGAAATAGATGCTCGGTGCCGCAAAGAAAAATTAGCACTGAGACAAGGGATTCTTCAGCAACGCAGTTTTTACTTCCTGGCCTGCAGGAAAGGGTACCCATGCTAGCCATCACGCCACAAGAGTACAATGAACAAAGGAAAACACACATTTATTTTTTACACATTTGGGGTTCTTACTGCTGTGTCTGATCTCCTTTGGCTGTAGCCAGACCTCACAATCTAAACTAAAACCCAATTGGCTAACAACTTAAAACTTAGGTAAAAGCAATGGAGAGCTGGGACATGCCTGTGAGCACGTCCAGCACAAAAATATCTTGCTTAAAGTACAATAACATAGAATGTACTATGTGCCTGTAAGCATGGCATGTCTGACACCTACCTAGGATAGGGCTTACAAAGTTATTAGCACAATTATTCTTTAACAAGAAAGGGAACTTTTCTACTTCCCACACTGATGGTATATTCTCTGTAGTTAAATCTTGGGCTTTCAAATTCTGTATTGAAGCCTGGACTGGGACTCCTGGGACCAGTTATCCTGCAACCACCCTAGCTACTGACTGAGGAGGCTTGTGATTTTTTTTTTTTTTTTTTTTTAATTTTTGTGAAAGAGGGTTACTGTATATATTCAATTTTGGCATAATGATTCCTTTGCTCCTGAAGTCACACCTCTTCATCTTCATAAGTACTGATTTCAGTTTCATGGGGGAGCTTATCTGCTGCACAGACCCCTACATCGTGTGCCTTTTCTCCATGTACAGGGAACCAAGTTGATAAACCTAGTCTGATCTCCCAGTTGGAGCAAGAAGATAAATTGATGACAGAAGAGAGAGGAATTGTCCCAGGCACCCAACCCGGTGAGCACCAGGTGGATATAAATCATTGCAAGGAACAGGTCTGGCCAGGGAGTGAGAAGCTGGGAGTATTATAATACATTAGGAAATATGAGGGAGAGAACTGCGTAAATGCCCCTTTTCCCAACAAGGCCAAGAACATTTGGTCTGCGGCTCACGTCCCTTCATTACTTTAACTTTCAGTTTGTCATCTCATACTTTACTTTGGCCTCAGGAGAGGGAAAAAAAAAAAAAGACACGTCTTGGGCGGGCACGGTGGCTCCCCCCTGTAATCCCAGCACTTTAGGAAGCTGAGGCGGGTGGATCACAAGGTCAGAAGATCGAGACCATCCTGGCTAACACAGTGAAACCCTATCTGTACTAAAAGTACAAAAAAGTAGCCGGGCATGGTGGTGCGTGCCTATAATCCCAGCTACTTGGGAGGCTGTGCTGTACCCCAAGCGAGTTTAAAACAGAAGCCCCACACTGAGTTTGTTGAGAGTCCGTTTACTGGTGTCCTAAAGTCAGTTATTGCTCAAACCTCTCCACCCCAAACAAAAGGCAGTCAACATTTTTATACCTTTGCAGGGTTAGGGGGTGGAAAGCAAATTGTTACAGAAGCAGAAAGAGCAGGTTAGGGGAGGGGGGACCTAACAACAGATTCTATTTAAAGTGTTTGTCAAGCAGGATGTGGGGTAGGCAGTGACGCTGCTGCAGGTACAGCATGTATGGGCCAGTGGGCCGTGTTTCTCTCCCTGGTGCCTACCATTTACGCAGTTCTCTACCAGGTGCCTCAGGCTACAAAGTTTCAGGAACAAAGTGCTCTACATAGCTCAGGGTGGTTAGAATGGAGTTAACAGGATTGCTTAAAATGGAGTCAACATAGCCAGGCTAGATTATGTCATTCCCCACTGATGTTTTGGCGGAATGAAATCATGGATTCCTCAGTGGCATCTACAGGATGGTAATGAGTTCTGAGGTACATGAGGCTGACAGGCTGTGGGCTGTCTAATGAATTTTAGGAGCCAGTTTAGTATGCATAGTCCAAAAGTTAGGCCTAAAAGGAGAAGCAGTAGGGGGCCTGCCAGCCTGGTGATCAGGGTTGTGAGCCAGGCCTTCCAGGTAAAGTCCCTGATACCAGGGAGTATTACTCTCCTGCTCTTGGCAGCATTGGTCTAAGTTATCCCTGACTCTGTGGAGAGTATCTCTGATGGCTCCAGACTTGTTGGCATAGAAACAACAGCTTTTCCCTAATGCAGCACAGAGTCCTCCTTGGGACAGAAACAAAAACTCTAAACTTCAGTGGTTTTGAAGGACCACCTTGGCTAGGGAATCTGATTGGGCATCCAGCATGTTTATGGCTGACTGAATTTCTTCTAGATCAGTATCAATGCGTTGGGAGAATGACACCAGTGCAGTTTCTCCTCGGATTAAAGCAGCAGTCCCCAGGGCGGTGCAGCCTGCTACACCAAGTCCCGCCAAGAGAGGCACTAGAATTGGGGCCCTGTGGCTGAACCTGGAGTGTAGTCCCGGTGGGCTGAAGAGGAGGTGTCCTTCTGATCCGCCATACGCATATACTTGGAGAAGTACATGGACCAAGACACACAGTTTGGGCCCTGTCTTCAGAGTTTGTTCCATTTATGCAACGGGTGAGACTGGAGGTGCAGGCCAACCAGAGGCCACTGGGAGCTCTACTGGACAATGAGGAGTTCCTAACAGTGAGTAAAGACTGACTGCAAGTGGTCTGAAAGGGAGAAGCAGACAGGTTATATCCAGAGATGATTAAGCAGGATGCATTTCCCGCAATATAATCTAGAGTGAGCAGCAGGTAGGCTTTGTGCAGGGAGGAGATTCCACTGGGATAGGTTTTTCTGCTCCTGCTCCCACATAGTACAGAGGTTTTGTCTTCAGGCACAGTCAACAGTCTTGAGCCAGTTCAGGTTGGGTGGTATTTAGAAGCTTACTCATGTCAGCAAGGATATACATTAAAATTGGGGCTAGATGAGGTTTAGGCCCGAGCCCGGAAACCACCCAGGGTGGGCCGGCTGAAATTTTTAAGTGGGGATGGGGCTGGAACATAGGTTCTCCTAAGTCCGATATGGCCCCGTAGGTTTTGGCAGTCTCCAGTAGGTAAGGACCTTTTTTTTGGATCACAGAGTCCCCGGATCGCATTCAGTTGCATATAGCCTGAGTCCCCAGGTCATCCCCTTGGTCAAAAGAAGGCAGAGGGATTGTGGATAGGAGGCTTAGGGGGTTAGAGGATCCCGTAGAGCATGTTTTTGGATGAGCAGCACGGGCTAAAGAGAGGGTTGAAGATTTTGTTGGTCTCCCGTGATAGGTGGCTAGGGTTACACGGGACCAGTATGGGCAGAAATATTCATCTGCTTGCTGGCAGTTTACATCTGAGGGGTTTCCTGGACACATGTAAAAGTCAATTGACTGAAGTTCCTTTTCCTCGTTGTCAGATCTCCCACATCCCAGCCAAGGCATCCCGAGGTCACGCTGGGAGCCCCAGCTGAAAAGAAGGCTGACTTCCGAGATTACGGCAGACTGGAAGGAGTAGGTGTGCTCTCTCTCATTTCTCTCCCCATCACCACGTACCAGTGCTCCTTCCAGACAGGACAAGTGGTCAGTAATACTACCTGGAAGGGAACGCTGTCCCACAGAGTTAATCCTCCAAGTTGACCCGTCTGCCCTAATCTCGTAGGCTTAAGGGAGTAGGTCCTGGGTCAGGGACCCATGTTGCTTGTTGAGTCTCGGTAGCGGACTTTGCGTGGGAGCAGTGGATCCAGGTCGGGATACTGTTAACCTTCAGGCGGTGGGGGTTGCTAGGATCTTGGTGTAGGGTCCCTTCCATGATGGGGTAAGTCCTTCCTTCTGGAACTTTGATATACACGAGGTCTCCTGGGTGGAAAGGATGACCAGATGTAGGCGGGTCAGAAGTAGGGGTCCAGTATGTTTCTCAAACAAGCGGCTGGATAAAGTCCTGTACTGTTGGAGAGACTGTAAGTACTGTAACAGGTTAGCAAGAGATTTCTGCCAAATGGACATCCTTCAGCCTTGGTAGAACGGGTGGTGCTCTACCAAACATTATTTTTGTACAGGGTGAATTGCCCGATAAGGGGAGCATCTAGTTCTAAGGAGTACGAGGGGAAGGAGGTTTGTCCAACTCTCACCGGTCTCCAGAATAAGTTTTGTAAGGGTGTCCTTTAAAGTTGGGTTCATGTGTTCAACCGTTCCGGAGCTCTGGGACTGGTAGGCACAGTATAGTTTCCACTGGACATTTAGTGCTTTACTGACCACTTGAGTAATGGACATGGTGAAGGCTGGACCATTGTCTGACCCAGTGGCAATTGGCAGCCTGTACTGGGGAATGATTTCATTGATTACTGTGGATGCAGTTTCATTTCAAGTGGCAAACGCCTCAGTCCATCCAGAAGAAGTATCCACCATCACCAGGAGATGCTTAGATCCTGCCTGGTGTGGTTTTATTTCTGTAAAGTCTATTTCCCACCTTTCTCCTGGGCTGCATCCTCGGAGGCAGCAGCCCAGTTCAGGTTTGGGACCTTGCCTGGCGTTTACTTGTGCACAGACCATGCGGCTGTAGGCTGCCAGTACAGTTAAGTCCTGAAGGTGGGGGATTTTGAAGCACCCGTAAAAGCTGAGCCAACTTGGTTCCTCCTAGGTGAGTGGTGGAATGAAGTTGGCCGACTAGGGCCCGTCCAAGGGACTCAGGCAGGAAGATTCTCGAGTCCAGGAGGATTCACCATCCATTTTGGTTTTTGTTGGCCTGAAGCTTGCTTTTCTTCTGATGCTTGCTTTTCTTCCTCTGGAGAATATGTTGGATGGTTGGGCAGCTCTGGCTGTGGGTAGGATACCACTGGCAACAGTCAGTGGGGTGACAGGAAGCATAGCTGCTTCATGGGCTGCAGAGTCTGCCTTCTGGTTTCCCCGGGCAATGGTCATGTTTCTCTCTGGTGTCCTTTGCAGTGATTACAGTGACCTGACAGGAAAGGCCTTGACTTGGCCTCGAGCAGGGCCAGGATTTCCTCTGTTTCCGAGTTTTTCCTGCAGAGGTAAGTAATCCCCTCTCCTGGTATACGGCCTCATGTACATGTACAGTAGCAAAGGCGTACCGACTGTCATTGTGGATGTTTACTTGCTTGTCTTTGGCCCTGGGTGAGGGCTACTAGTTCAGCCTTTCGTGCGGAGGTGCCACCGGTAGTGCTTGGGCCCAAATAATATTGGTCTCTTGTTGTGATAGCTGCACCGGCCCTGCATACCCCCTGGTTGATGAAACTGCTTCCATCGGTGAACAGAGTGGTGTCCACCTGTTCCAGAGGGATATCTTCCAAGTCTGGCCTACAGGTCTTAGTGACCTCAGGTATTTCTTGGCAGTCATGAATGGGAGCAGAGAAGTCTGGGTCTGGGAGCAAAGTTGCCAGATTCACGCAGCATGCAGGATGGAAAGTCAGCCTGGGCTGGTCCAGTAGCAGGCTTTGGTACTGTAAGATCTGCGAGTTTGACATCCATTTTTCCGAGGCACTCCTGAGCAGAGTTTCCACTGCATGGGGTGCCGTAAGGGTCAGTTACTGGCCCAAGGTTAATTTACCGGTTTCCTGGACCAAACTTGGAGTAGCTGCCACTGCCCACAGGCAGCTTGGCCAATCAGAAGCCACTGGGTCCAAATTTTTTGATAAGTAGGCATCTGGCTGCCACCATGGTCCCAGGGACTGGGTGAGGACTCCCTTAGCCATGCCCTTGTTTTCCTGGACAAACAGGTGGAAAGGTTTTGACACATCAGGGAGTGCAAAGCCAGTGCTTCAGTGAGAGCCCTTTTTAAGTTCTGGAAGGCCCGTTCCTCTGTCTCAATCTAGACCAAGTCTCCGCTTTCACTGGTCACAGTGTAGAGGGGCTTTGCGATTTCTGTGAACCCCGGAATCCAGAGGCGGCAGTACCCTGCTGCCTCCAGGAATTCCCACAACTGTTTTTTTTTTTTTTTGTGGTAGGACTTGGAATTTGTAAGATAGCCTGTTTTTGAGCATCGGAAAGTGCTCGCTTTTCTTTGGTGAGTTCATATCCTAAGTAAAGTACCTTCTGGAGGCAGACTTGGGCCTTTTTTGCTGAGACTTGGTATCCAAGTCCTTGGAGGAGACACAGCAAGTCTTTTGTATGTTGTAGACAGCTGTTGGCTGTTTCCATGGCCAGCAGTGAGTCATCTGCATACTAGAGAAGGGTGCAGTCTGGATAACTGGCTCAGAAAGGCACTAGGTCCTGTTGGAGAACATCTCCAAAAAGGGTAGGAGAATTCTTGAACCCCTGGGATAAGTGGGTCCAAGTAAGTTGGATGGTGTCTCCTGAGTTTGGATCTGTCCATTTGAAAGCAAAGATTGGCTGGCTGCTGGCGGCCAAGGGGATGGCGAAGAAAGTGTCCTTTAAGTCCAAAACAGTGTATACTGGATGGTTTGGTGGGAGCAGGCTGAGGGTGTATGGGTTCAGGACAGTCGGGTGAACAGCGACCAGACTGCTTGTTAACGTCCCATAAGTCCTGGACCAGCCGATAGTCATTGGTACCAGCCTTCTTTACTGGCAGGAACAGAGTATTCCAGACCGATTTGCACAGCCTTAAAATATCTGCCTGCAGTAGCCGCTGTATGTGGGGACTTAGGCCTTCCCTGGCTTTTTGCCTCATGGGATACTGTTTTACTTGTACCGGTAGAGCTGTAGCCAACAAGTCCACTGTCCCAGGGGGTTTGATTCTGCCCAAAAGTGGGGAAACTAGGCCTCTAATTCCAGCATAAGTGAGCCGTTTTCTGAGGCTACGGCTGGGGTATTTAAAACCAGGAGGTATTCTTCTGACACGGGGATGGTCAGTAAGAGGTGGGTAGTTGATGAATCGTGGTCCTCTAAGGTGAGATGAGTTCCTCGGGTTGAGAAAAGAGATAGAGGCTTGCAGTTTATGGAGTAGGTATCTTCTCATTAGGGGACACAGGCACTCCGAAACTACCAAGAAGGAATGAGTTACTCTTTCCTGGCCTAGATTTACTTCTGGGTAGTTGCAGATAGTCCCTGTGGCCCCTAGAACTGCTCCTTTTGTGATTGGTGACCTGGCCCAAAGGTGTTTTTAATACTGAGTGTTCGCTCCAGCTTCAAATTAAAAATGTTACAGCGTGACCCCCTGGAGACTCATTGGTCCCCTGGACCACTTCTGTGGTTTTAGGTAAATTCATGGGATTCCGTGCAGCTCCCTTAATACCTGAGAGAAGATACCGGTGGAAGTTGTCCAAAGCCCTTCTCCCCGCCGAGAAGTTAGGGTCCAGTCTGGTCCGGTTGAGGGGGAAACTTCCTCCAACCAGGTCCTGCCCTCCTCTTCAGGTTGGCCAGTGGAGGATTTGCTGACAGTCGTCCCAAGTAGAACGATGAGTCTGGAGTATGGATTCCACCAGGAGGTCAGAACCTGGGTTTTTTCAGAAAACAGCAGGTTGAGTTCTCTAATTATATAAATCAGAGGTGGAAAATGGGACATAAACCAAAAATGGGGTTGATTGTTCACTACCAGCCGGAGGCGGTGCTTCCCTCAAAGGGAGGAGGGGAGCAGCCTCCACCTTCTGTTGTGGCCAAAGCCTGGAGGCCACAGGTGGTGATGCAGTGGCGGGTACAGAAAAAGTAACGGTGAGCAACAACTGGGTCATAGGGCAGAGGGAGGATTGGGGGGAAACCTTTGTCCTCCCCAGACGGGGGCAGGACTGGAGGGGCCGAGCTGAAGAGGGTGGTGACCGAGTAGTATGGTTGAGTACCTTAGAGGCAGGGTTTTGAGCTGTGCAGGACTGCAGCCACGGTGGTGGGTTCAGGACCAGCCTTAGCTACTGATCAATATATAGGAACTGGTTGGGGTGACCTGGGTTTCTTGTGACTACCCTCCAAACTGCCTGGACCACGTCAGGGCCTGTGTTCGGCCATCCCATGTCAAAGGTTGGCCATTCTAATTCACATAGGGTTCAGGGCTGGCCCTTGGAGAGGCGAACTCCAGTGAGATAATCTAGCCTGTCTATGGTGACTCCATTTTAAGCAATCCTGTTAACTCCCATTCTGATCACCCTTAGCTACACAGAGCACTTTGTTCCTGAAACTTTGTAGCCTGAGGCACCTGGTATTTTGTAACCGGTTTTTCTGAGAAACACTGCCCACTGGCCCGTAAATCCTGTACAGGTATTGATCAACTTACGACCTATGCAACTTCCGACCATTCGACTTTACGACCACAATCGCTAGCCACAACTGCTCCACATCTGGCAGCGCAAACATTGCCCAACTGGGCGTACGACAGTGTGGACCAGCTTCCAGCAGCACTACCATCTCCGCGTGCACCATTTCAACTGTTATCCCAGACTCGGTACAGTAATTTGTGTTTTGTTTAAAAACAAGAAACAAAATGGTGTAGAGATTATACAAATGGCATAAAATGAACAAAGAAAATTATAATATATAGCAATAATGAAAGAAAATTATGATAAAATATGACTTAAAGATTTTTGTGACATCATTTCACAGTACTGTACATATAGCCTACTCAACTTATGACCAAATGGTGTTAGGACTGGTCTGTCGGAACTAGTCGTGGTCGTAGGTCGAGCACTCGCTGTACCTGCAGCAGCGTCACTGCCTACCCCACATCCTGCTTGACAAACAGCTTTAAATAGAATCTTTGTTGTTAGGTCCCCCCTCCCCTAACCTGCTCTTTCTGCTTCTGTAACAATTTGCCTTCCACCCCCTAACCCCGCAAAGGTATAAAAATGTTGACTGCCTTTTGTTCGGGGCTGAGAGGTTTGAGCAATAGCTGACTCTTGAACATCGGCATTAAACAGACTCTCAACAAACTCAGTGTGGGGCTTCTGTTTTAAACTTGCTTTGGGTACAACAGCTGAGGCAGGAGAATCTCTTGACCCAGGAGGCGGAGGTTGGAGTGAGCTGAGATTGCGCCATTGCACTCCAGCCCAGGCGACAAGACTCCGTCTCAAAAAAAAAAAAAGACACATCTCGTTTTCCTAAATGTAAGTCTCCTATGAGTTCCTTGAGCAGTTTCAGTCCACCTTGCCTTCCTGACAATTCCTTCGTTTTGTCCACATCAGTCTCTATCTTGCTGGAATCTTTTTTAAACATTGCCTAAAATTTTCACGCCTGTATCCCATTTGTTGAATGCCTTCTCAAAAGCCCTCATCTCAGATTCTGCCTTCACTCATATATATGCATTTTGCCATTTCACCATCAACTTAAAATTGCCACTTTTCTATTAACTTAAATTTCTTTTTAACTTGTTTCAGATGTGGAGACTCCACTTGAAGCCAGCGGGTTAACTTCTAAGCTACATGTTTTTTGAAAAGATCAAGAAATATGAAAATGGTAAGACTAACATGGGTGGTTTCTGGCTTTTCATGGTAGGATAATGCCCTACATCAGAAAAGCCACAAAGAGTGGCTTTATTAAATAGTTACTAAAGGAAAGTGTCATTTTTCCAAGAGAAAATAGTGTCTCTGGAGAGATACTGTGAAATTATTTAGAATTTGGAGAAAAGCATTAGCCCCAAACTTGTTTTTCCTGAGAAGTCCCACAAGTAAATACATCCAATAGTCTGAGTCAGATATTGGGTATTTGGAAAACAAAGTAGCTGGGCACAGTGGCTCACGCCTGTAATCCCAGCACTTTGGGAAGCCAAGGTGGGTGGAGCACCTGAGGTCAGGAGTTTGAGACCAGTCTGGCTAACATAGTGATACCCTATCTCTGCTAAAAATACAAAAAATTAGCTGGGCATGGTGGCACAAGCATGTACTCCCAGCTACTTGGAAGGCTGAAGCAGGAGAATCGCTTGAACCCAGGAGATGGAGGTTGCAGTGAGCCAAGATCATGCCATTGCACTCCAGACTGGGTGACAAGAGCAAAACTTCATCTCCAAAACAAAAACAATAACAAAAATTAGCCTTAAACTTACCAGAAAAATGCTCTATGAATATAATAAAGATGTGTAGAAAGAATCCATCTTTTTTAAATTCTAAGAATCAAACCAACAGAAGCCATGTACCAGCACACTCATAGCAGCAAAAACATTAATTCTAATACCATGATACACAACGGAATTCCTGGGAGAGGGACCCATGTCAGTATTTAGTGCTAAAAATACTATAAATTGTACTTACTAGTCATCTCTTAATCAACAGGAGACAAATCATCTTGGAGCAAAATCCAGCAAATGTAATCAGTGTTTTAAAGTCCTCAGCTCAAAATCTTCCCTTACACGGCACAAGAGGATTCATACTGGAGAAAAACCCTATGACTGCAGTGAGTGTGGTAAATCTTACAGGACTAGATGTTACCTTTCTATTCATAAGAGAATCCACAATGGGGAGAAGCCCTATGAATGCAGTGACTATGGGAAAGCCTTCATTAATTCCTCATCCTTGGCTTTTTGTAATCAATGTTAGGATGCCTCAGCTCTTAACTGAGTGGCCACACAGTAACTTACACTGAGAACAAAAGGCATAAATGCTTCATCAGTATCTCATTTGTAGGATGGGCCACTAGCTCATTAATTTTTAGCCTTTTTGTTTGAATATAAGCATTTATGGCTATAGCTGTCCTGAAAATCTTATTATACCATTTTATATATAGTGTATTCTAAAACATCAATACACCAAATATTCAAAAAGGCATTTCCAAAGAGCTCCTGAGTGATCTAGTTTGTTAAACAAAAAATAGACAATATTTTTTTTTTCTAATTTAATAGCATTTTATCAGAGTACATGGGCTTTCTTACTTTGATAGTTTTCTCTCTCTGTACTAATATAGCAAATACTGTTTCCTTCTCAATGTTCATTCTCCCTACTTATTTAAAGAAAAAACAATTTTATTCAAGTTGTCAGTGAGCAGTATTGAAAAGGTATATACAGTGGGGCTGGGAGCAGTGGCTCATGCCTGTAATCCCAGCACTTTGGGAGGCTGAAGGGGGCAGATCCCCTGAGGTCAGGAGTTCAAGACCAGCCTGGCCAACATGGTCAAAACTCAAAAAAAAAAAAACAGGCATGGTGACAGGTGACTGTAATCCCAGCTACTCAGGAGTCTGCGGCAAGAGAATCACTTGAGCCTGGGAGGCGGAAGTTGCAACGAGCTGCACTCCACACTACCACACTCCAGCTTGGGCAACAGAGTGAGACTCCATCTCAAAAGAAGAAAATGTTCAATGTAACAGGCTTTCCTGAAGAGGGTTAGACAGGCTTTGTCCCACTCTGCTGGCTATGAGAAGTAGGAATAAGGCCCTGGGTGAGACACCATCTGGCTTGTTCTCATCTATTTTTATTCTTTCAGAAAGTGGACACAAGGCATAGTTAGAACAGCCTTTTTTTTTTTCACCACAGTGGTGAAAAACGCAGAAAAATCACAATAATTTGAGTTCTTCAAAAACTTTTCATTGGCCGCATCGGCTCTACTCTGTGCATTGCTAGACTTCTTACATGATTACAAGTAACCATTAACTGGTTAAAACCAAAGAGTGAGTGAGTGAGAGTGTGAGAGTGTGTGTGTGTGTGCGCGCGCGCGCGCGTGTGCGCACTTTAGAGAGGAGGGGTTCTGTTAGCTTCCAGGTGAATGCAGTATCTGTTTATCCTGTTTATTGATCTATTTTTGTAAGTGCTCCATGATTCTTTGAAAATAGTATACTATATATTCTTTAATTTTTGGATACAGATGGACATACGTACTCAAACTAGTTGTGTTTTTCAATATGTACTTTAAATTTTTCTCTCGACCTGACTTAGTTGTATATTAAAGTCTTCCATGAGGATGGTGGATTAACAAATGCTTTCTATAATTCTGTCACTTTTGCTTTATATATGTTTATGTGTAATGTAACTAGGTGCCTAGAGGTTTAGATATTTTCTTGTGAAATGTTTCTTTTCAGTAGGGGCCATACCTTTTTCACAGCAAAGAATTTTACTATTAAAATACATTAACAAAAAAAAAAACCATTTAGCTAGCCCATCCTATAAACCAGGCACTCTTCAAAAGTGCCTTATGAATGTTAACTACATAGTCACTACAAGCTTGCAAAGTATGGGCTATTACTATCTCCAACTTACAGATGGGAAAACTGGCATGGAATGTTTAGGTTGCTTGCCTGAGTTCACCAGCTAGTAAGTAGTAGAGCACAGATTATAACCCAGATACTTCATGCTCAAAACCACTGTCCTATTTATTATTTATTCTACGTAGCCAAGCACTGTTTGAGCAGTGACTGAAACTCAAGTTTTACCTGTGACACAATTTCTACCAACAGGGAGGGGTGGATTTTTAGAAAAATCAACAACATGGCGAGGCACCGTGGTTCACGCCTGTAATCCCAGTACTTTGGGAGGCTGGCAGGTGTATCATGAGGTCAGGGGATCAAGACCATCCTGGCTAACACAGTGAAACCCCGTTTCTACTAAAAATACCAAAAATTAGCTGGGCACGGTGGCATCAACTTGTAGTCCCAGCTACTCAGGAGGCTGAGGCAGGAGAATCGCTTTAATCTGGAAGGCAGAGGTTGCAGTGTGCCGAGATCGCGCCACTGCACTCCAACCTGGCCACGATGCAAGACTGTCAAAAAAACAAAAAACAAGCCTGTAGATTTTTAACACTTTTATATGTCTAATTTTTTTTTCTTTTAAGACAAATCTCACTCTGATGCACAGGCTGGTCTGATTTTTTCTTTTCTTTTTTTTTGAGAGGGAGTCTCACTCATTGCCCAGGTTTGGCTCACTGCAACCTCCTCCCGGGTTCAAGCGATTCTCCTGCCTCAGCCTTCAAGTAGCTGGAATTACAGACATGCATCACCACACCAGGCTAATTTTTGTAATTTTAGTAGAGACTGGGTTTTGCCATGGTGGCCAGGTTGGTCTTGAACTCCTGACTTCAAGGGATCCACCCACCTTGGCCTCCCAAAGTGTTGGGATTATAGGCATGAACGAACACGTCCAGCCCTAATTTTTTTATGAGCGAACACGTCCAGCCCTAATTTTTTTTTCCAACTAAAAAGAGTTTTAAGTCACGATGAACTAGTCCCTTAAAACTAGAAATGATAGAAGGCATGGCAAGCCATTTCCTAGTCCCCTAAGACTTGAGATTGTGGAAGCCCCAGCAAGTGATTCTCACAGTCTGCATACAGCAGGAGAGCTGGCAGAAGCCCTAGCAGGTAAACCACCAGCCACCCCCAAAACAAAAGACAA